TATTCTGAGATATAAAGTCCACTTCCAGGACATAGACTTCGACAACATTATCGATGAGTTCGAAGATTTAGACATTTAAGACAACAAATGATTTGAAACTTTGTTGAAATTTAAGACAATTGTAATTGACAAATAAAATGATAATTGAATTTTTGATAATAAAAAAGTTTCATAACTTCTCAATTTGAACAATATATAGATCTCATAATTCAAACACCAGTTATGTAGAGCCAAAGTTAGACCAATTTTTGAAACCCGGGCCAAACCCTTAGTGTTCTTTAATCGGGAAGCCCGACCCGGCCTCTATGCCGGCAAACCCGTGGGAACCCGAAAAAACCCTTAAAATATAAAACTACAAAATTGGGGCAAGTTTAACATCAAATGAACATCTATTGAAATTTAACATTAAACATACATTCATATAATGCATTAAAGTTTACAAAAATCATAATTAGATTCAATAAACAACAATTTATCGATATTCTGGGGGTCGAGTTAAGGAAAAATATAAATACTGTGAGAAAATTATAAGGGTTTTCTAAGGGTTTTGATTTCTATAACGGGAAACCCTTTCTCGGCCCGGCCCTTAATATTCAAACCCGTTCCCGTCAGAAACCCTTAAGGTCGGGATGACAAGGGTTCTCAACTTCCTATCCTAGTATAGAGTATAATTCCAGACATAGACTTCGACACTGGATTAGATGAGTTCAAAGATTTGCAAATTTAAGATAATTGTTTTTAAAATTTAAATGAAATTATAATTAATAATTATTAATTATATTAAGATAAACATAATACTGGGTGTGACTTTAAACTTATATGAAACAAAACATAACTAGACTACTTTAGAGTGAATTTATTGAATTGAATACAAAGGACTGGCAGTGAATGGGATTCATTGGTAACTTTGTGGCCATTAGTTTGAAGATCGATCCCTCGACCGTTGGAGTGGTTGCATGGGAAGGGGTGGTTGCATGGGAAGGGGTGGTTGCATGGGAAGGGGTGGTTGCATGGGAAGGGGTGGTTGTGCGGGCACTTGAGCCACATGTCGTAGTATTGTCTTCAGAGCGTCCATATGTCTCACGAGTCGATTGACTCGAGTGACCAGTTGTTTCACTTTGGAGGTGACCAGTGATCGGAGTAGAGGCCACTGTTGAGTCTGAGCCATACTTATGGGATCCAAGTGACCATTACTGCGTTCTTGTCCACGGATCCAACAACACATACTCGTCCACCCCCTGAGCCCTTATCAGCTCCTGAACCCCAGCCAATGATCTTTTGATGTCCTCCAACTCATTCAAAGCGCGGGTCAACTCTATCTCGCCTCAGATCCATAGATAGCCATCAAATATGAATTGCAATACATTTCCCAAATGGTTGGTCAGGGGTACCAATAGCTATACATTTTTTATGAAACAAATATTTAGTTTGTACTAATCAGAGTTTTTGCAAAAATGGACAGTCATATTTTACGTTCACATTTAAACATGTTAATTAAATACAAAAACAAAAAACTATATATTTATCTATTGAAAATAATTGGATATTTTGTTTTTGAAAAATGAATCTTAACGTTATTTGTACTACGCTGACTATTGTAACTGGTAAATTTTCATGAAAAATAAGTTTTATAACTTAAAATCACTAAAACGCTACTCTTTTCTACTCTTGGGTGGTGCTCGAGAAGTCTGAAACCCGGGAACCCTGCCACCAATGCCGGTTCCCTGAACGCCTCACCCGACATGTCTGTCCGCTATATGTATAACTGTCCTCTCGGTTAGAATCAACACTTTTTACTTTAATATTTGTCATTCATTTTTCATGATATTTATCATTTTTGTATTAATATTTCATTTAACAATACAGTAGTTTGAAAATATTAATTCAGTTTCATATGATTATCCAAATATATTATTAACGAATTTTTTGTTAGTTAATTAAATTTTAATTTAAATCAAAAACTTATTACCGTGATAAATAAAGTTAGAAAACTTTGTACCGTAATATAATGTATATACATGTATATACCGTAATACATTAGAAGCTAAATGATTAGCTAATACTATGCCCTGGTAGTAATATCTATAACTCAATTATAATTAAATGGGTTTCAACAAAATATTTAAATTTAAGTTCACTGGTCAGATTAAATGATTAGATTGTAAAATAAAATTAAAAAGTTTTAATTATAATATAGACTATTAATAGCATATAATCTATAGTAGAGTGACATCTAGTGTCACATGCATTGAGTTATAATTCAATGTAAAAGTCATATGAAATGTGAATGTATTTTGAGATTTAAATTGTGATTAAATTAACTGTAATTGTATTCATCACTCAATTCATCCAGCAATTGATTGCCATTGAAATCACCAAAAATCAGATCCAATCTAATATAAAATAATTTATTGAAATATTAAATATAAGAAATGGTTTACTATTTCCTGAACCGTATTTTACCCGCAATTAAAGTAACTATCATTTAATCAATTGGTTTTGTCTTAAGATAAGCTGATCTAACCATTTGTCTCGATGTCCAATAGTGTACCAAATCATCGCTGCATGTGTTGAGTCCATCCGTGTCTTTACCGCATACTTCTGGATGTGTGCAGACGTTATCCAAAAGACATTATTCATCGGATAATGGTTTGCATTGTAATCACATATTCAGACCATTATCTTAAGCTCTATTTGTGGTATGAATTGACAGCACCGGCAGACTTGGTTGTGATCGGCTCCGGACCGGGAGGTTATGTGGCCGCCATCAAAGCCTCTCAATTGGGAATGAAGGCATGTATTACCTCTTAAGTCATGCGATTGTCTTAATTGATCCTATGGTGATGTCTGTGCAGACGGTGTGTATAGAGAAAAATGAGACACTGGGCGGCACGTGTCTCAACGTCGGGTGCATACCATCCAAAGCACTCTTACATAACTCACACTACTATCATATGGCTCTTCATAATGATTTCAAAACCAGAGGAATTGAATGTAATGTTTGATAAGTATTAAGAGATTTTGTTAATTAATTGATGACTTGATGTCTCAGTCGATAATCTTCGGCTTAATTTGGATACACTTATGGAACAAAAGAGATCTGCGGTGAAGAGCCTGACCGGAGGTATCGCCCAATTGTTTAAGAAAAATAAGGTTTTAATTGCTCTTTAGATGATAATTAAGACATAATTAAGACATTTATGTAATTAACGACAATTTGTGACCAAACTATAGATAACTCATATTAGAGGTCACGGGAAGATCACCGGTACTAATGAAGTGACGGCTATTAAAGAGGATAACACGACAGAAGTGGTGAAGACTAAAAATATATTAATAGCTACCGGTTCTGAAGTGACTCCTTTCCCCGGCATTGAAGTACTGACTCTATTATTATTGTTAACTATTATTAACTAATATTATTGTTATTTAATGAATACTTATTATTATCGCAAAGATTGACGAGAAAACGATCGTTTCGTCGACGGGTGTCCTATCATTAGATAGAGTCCCGAAGAAAATGGTAGTCATCGGCGCCGGTGTCATAGGGCTTGAGTTGGGCTCTGTTTGGTCGCGTTTGGGCGCAGAGGTGACTGCCGTTGAGTTCTTGGGACACGTGGGAGGGCTTGGAATCGATGCCGAGATATCCAAGAATTTCCAGCGAATACTAGCCAAACAGGGATTGAAATTCAAATTGAATACTAAAGTGACGGCAGCCGTCAAACAGGGCGACAATATCCAGGTGTCCATCGAGTCGGCCAAAGGGGGAGAGAAAGAGACTGTGAGTTAAACTGTTTTTATTAGACTTTGTTTTAATTGTCATTTAATTGACAAACTCATTGTGACTGTGTATTGAATGTATAGCTCGACTGCGATGTACTGTTGGTATGTGTGGGAAGGCGTCCCTTCACTCAAAATCTCGGTTTAGAAGAACTTAATATTCAGAAAGACGAGAGGAATAGGATTAAGACTAACTCCAGATTTCAGACTAATATTCCCAAGTATTTGATATTTTCTCTGTAAAAGTATTCAATTTAACATATTTATGATTCCCGCAGTATATTCGCTATCGGAGACTGTATTCCCGGCCCGATGTTAGCCCATAAAGCCGAGGATGAGGGCATTGTGTGTGTGGAGGGCATCGCTGGCGGACCCGTTCATATAGACTATAATTGCGTGCCTTCCGTCATATACACGAGCCCTGAGGTGGCCTGGGTTGGCAAGTCTGAGGAGGACCTCAAACAACAGGTATGTCTTGATTTTATATGAATAAATGGACCCGGTGTTAATTATGATTACCACCACTACCACTACCGCTATAATTAAGATTTTGAGTCAATTCTTAATCACTAGTTATTATGTATTCATGTATTCATAACCTTAAAGTGTAGTGAAGTCTTATTTTTCATTTGATTGATAACTCAATTTTAAAATTCATTTAAAAACGTTATCTCGTAAAGCAATTTAAGTGCATTAGCTATAATAAATAATTTATAATTACTTTTCTATAATTAAATATAAATATAGATTTAATATAAATGTATTTTTAAACGATACGAGTTCTTTAATCAGTAATTTCTTATCTAATTATAAATCTAATTAAAGTATAAATGTAAAGCAATGATAAATGTATTTTTGAGTGATAATTGAATTAATGTATGAATTGGTGAAATGTATGCACAGAATGTGGACTACAAAGTGGGCAAATTCCCGATGATTGCCAACAGTCGGGCCAAGACTAACAACGAGACCGAAGGACTCATTAAGATAATCGCCGATAAGAAAACCGATCGCATACTAGGCGTTCACATGATTGCCGGGGTATTGCATTGTTTTTGGAAATGACATGTTTTTGTACAAAACACTAACTTTTTGATTAACTCATCGATAATCACACAAAACATATGACTAGAAACTCGAGTGATAGGAACGGAACACCAAAATAATTAATTTGAACTCCTTTTCCGCTCTGAATGCTTAGGTCGCGGGTGAGATGATCAATGAGGCGACGCTGGCCATGGAGTACGGCGCCTCCTGCGAGGACGTGGCCCGTGTCTGTCACGCG